CCTAGAGAGGTGGAGGTTTGCACTAGAAAGAAGAGGAATGAAGGTCAGTCGCAGCAAGGCAGAGTACGTGTGTGTAAACGAAAGGGAGAACAGTGAAATAGTGAGGCTACAAGGAGCAGAGGTGGTGAAGGTGCAGGAGTTTAGGTACTTAGGATCAACTGTTCAGAGCAGAGGAGACTGTGGAAGAGAGGTGAAGAATAGAGTACAGGCAGGATGGAACAGCTGGAGAAAAGTGTCAGGAGTGATCTGTGACAGAAGAGTGTCAGCTAAGGTGAAGGGAAAGGTTTACAGGACGGTGGTGAGACCAGCCATGATGTATGGTTTAGAGACAGTAGCAATAGGCAGAAGACAGGAGGTGGAGCTGGAGGTGGCAGAGTTAAAGATGCTGAGATTCTCTTTAGGAGTGACAAGAATGGACAGGATCAGGAATGAGGTCATTAGAGGGACAACACAGATGGTTTGGAGAAAAGTCTAGAGAAGCCAGATTGAAACGGTTTGGACATGTGCAGAGGAGGGACAGTGGATACACTGGTAGAAGAATGTTAGCGATGGAGCTACCAGGTAGGAGACAAAGAGGAGATATATGGATGTAGTGAGGGAGGGCATGTAGATAGTTGGAGTCAGAGTAGAAGATACAGAGAACAGGGAGAGATGGAAATCAATGATTTGCTGTGGCAACCCCTGAAAAAAAAGGGACAAAGCCGAAAGAAAAAGAAGAAGACTGAAATTCCTTAAGAAAATGTTGACAAAGAAAATATATTAAGAATTAGATTCTTTGATTTAAATACTCGGATCCCGCCCCCCATTTTTATTTTGGTAAATGTAAACACTACTTTTTCACAGTGCAGTTGATTAATGGTATTTGTTTTCCTTCTATCCTGCTCATCTTGGACAGCTGTCACTCAAACTGGTCAGTATCTCATCCTAATACATGTTTTTTTTATTTAAAATGTATTTAAAAATTGTATAAATTTTTGACCCTATCCTCCTTTGTGTTGACGTATTCCTCGATGCTATCGTCGTTCTCAAAGGGCTCCAGTCCGGCAGATTGCAGTCACCTTCCTCCCGAGCAGAGACGAAAGAAACTCCAGACCAGAATCAACAACATCAACCAGGAGATTCAGAGGGAGAAGGAACAGAGGTGACACAAACGCACGCACACACACACACACACAGTACATTTCTGTGTACTTCGGTGTACCATAGTTATGTTTATTACAACCATGTGTCTGTTTATCAGAAATGCTCTGTTGAAGATGAGGGAGGTTTATGAACAGAGTCCTCAGATGGGCGACCCCAGCAGTGTGGAGCCACGACTGGAGGAAGTCAAGCACAGTCTGCAGAGACTGGAGGAGGAGCTACGGAGACACCAGGTACTGTATATACAGTAATACACACTCATACTGCAGTACACACTGTACACACAAAGCATAGACAGTATAATTGTATACACCTTGTCCTCTGTCTGAGGTCGTTACCACATGATTCTGGATTTGTCAACAATGGAAGACAGTGTTGCTGTTAGCATGTAGGCTAATACAGCCTCTTAGCAGAAAAAAAATGAATTTATGAAAAGTATCAGATTTTTGGTGTTTGGAATTTTATGAAGATCTCTTTTGTTCTGGTTTGTCTTGACAGTAAGTAAAGCCGGTGACTTGTTTACTGCTGCTCAGACACGACAGCGCTTTAGCTTAGCATAAGCGAGAATAAGCTTCTTCTTTGTGCTCTGGGGTGAGATGTAACATCTATTTAATGATTTATATATATATGTATATAATGAAAGTCCAATGAACTCTTTGCAGTTGTAGTATTTTATCACATATATACACACAATATATACATTTAAATTTATGTGCTAGCTAAATTATGTTGAAAGGTTGTCCCAATACCAGCACAAGTATTTATTTTGGGGTTAGAGTGAAAAGTCCTGTGAGGTATTGTTACTGGTTCGTCTCAAACATGTATTATGATTTTTTTTTTTACTTTTAAAAACACATATTTTGGTCCACTGTGTGAGAATAAGTGCTGGTTTAGAACCATACACCCTGTGTGTTAGCACATTTCTGCTATGTTTATGCTAACACACGTTCCGTATGTCTCTGCAGGTGTGGTTGTCGGAAGTCGACAGCAGAATGTCTGATCCTGGCCCCAGACAGAGTGGAGGTTGTGGGTTAAATTCCCAGGGGACGACACCAGGCAGCAGCAGTCTGAAACAACTGGACAACAGGAGTCCCGCCAGCAGAGAGAGGTACGGTTATTATAGTTCACATTTTTATGTGGTGTTTCGAATAAAAAATTTGTAAAAATCACTTTTTTTCGGTTTTTTTCCCTCTCAGTCCTGATGGCAGCTACACCGAGGACCAAAATGCAGAGCTTCACTTTAAGTCACGCAGTTCAGAGTTTGATGAAGAATTTGATGAGGAAGAGCCTCTGCCCAGTATTGGTACCTGCAAGTCTCTTTACCAGTTTCAAGGTAGTATAAGTGTTTCTTTACTCTTTAATAATAAAAAAATAAAATCTAAAAATCTGCACCGGAATTTTTTTTTCAAAAGCAGCTTTAACACTTCACAATAACAAAAAAACGTTATTATGTTTAAACTTTAAAAGTTTGTTGTTTGTTTTTTAAATAAAATATATTTTTATGAAATAATTTTATGAAAGTATTTATTTAAAATGTATAAATAAATAATAAAAGTACCTAAATAAAATAAGTAATAAAATAAAATTATTAACAAATTCAAATAAATATTTTTTTATAAATTATAACTTTAATAATGTTTTAGATGTTTATTAATTATTTCATAAGTTTTGAATTACACTTCAGTTCAACCCATTAGCACAACAGAAATCAACCTTTTTGAAATGTATGGCAACAGAGAAGTTGCTCAGTCTGTGTCACTGCGTCCACTCATCTGTAGGGGGCGCTGTACGTCATTGGACCAATGCTTCTAAATGTGCAGTGTTTCTGTATGAACTGCAGGTCAGAACGAAGGCACTTTGTCCATGGTGGAGGGAGAGCTGCTGTCTGTGGTGGAGGAGGACAAAGGAGACGGCTGGACCAGAGTACGGAGGAACATGGAGGAGGAAGGATACGTCCCCACGTCCTACATCAAAGTCTTTCTGGACAGCAGTGCCAAAGGTGCAATGACCTATATATGACCTCTGCATGACCTGTAAACTACCTGAAGTGTTCATTAACTTTAAAATCACCCAATCTGAGCCACACGACCTCTAGTTCACCTCCATATAAAACCAGACTTTTTCATGACCCCAAAGACTATTTTATCGACATCTGCGCCCCACCCTTTTGAACCACATAACGCTTTTTGACCTATGACCTCTGAATGTCCATATTTTTTGCAATAGTGCACGTGTAATTTTAATTTTTTAGCATGTAAGATAAATACAAAAAAAAAAATAGCAAATAGCCAACTATTCTTAATTATTGAATTGATAAATTGATCAATCATCTGATTGGCTCCTCACTAATCCATACCCGTGCTGTTCATCATCTCATTGTGAAAAAGGAAGTGAGTGTTTTTATTCTGGAGTCACTCAATGTCAATGACATCACTGCAGTCAACAGGAAGTAATGACGTGAAGAAGACTGTTGAGGGAAGGAGCGGGTGGGCGGGGCGGGAGGGGGGGTGACCCCCTTCGTGACCCCGCCCACTTGCGACCTCACGGGATGTGATTGGCCGGCGAACAAAGGTTTTATTGAGCGGCTTCAGAGCAGGTTATGTTTCCATCGCCATGGTGATGGTTAAGTTACTGCAGTGATTCTCTGTAGTAACTTAGTAAAGAGTGAAACTCTTCACTATTGTCTTACTAAAACATCTTGGTGTCCAACATCAGGCTCCACCTCCTCCAGCGTCACCTCCTCCGCAGGTCTTTACCCTGTTATAACTGAAAATAATTTCTGCACATTATAATCTGAATTATTAGAACACTCATTACTGCAGGATTATTTCTGTAGTTCCCAAATCTTCCTGCAGGGAAATATCATTACGTTCTGTCTACTTATGCGTTGATTTAATAAGCAGTGGACGGACGTTTCACTCCACTATATTTCTGTTTCTCACAAAAACACTGCCACTTTAAGGAATGGTCATGTGACCTGAGGAGAAGGCGGAGCCTGAAGAGGCGCTCGTTAACGCAGGTCTAACGCCACAGTTCTGTTGACGTGCTGAATATTCTGTCTTAAATGTGAAAGGTCAGCTGACCTCACGGCGCTGTTTCAATAACGTATATTGATTGTCATCAGTGTTCGATCACATTGATCATGTGACTCACCCTGCTGTCTCACCCTGCTGCCTCTAACACCCCTGTGTCTCTCTCTCTTTACCTGTCTGTCCATATCTTGTAGGCTTTGTGCAGAGTAGTCGTCTAGTCTAGCGCAGTAATCGCCCAGTGAGGACGCCTGGCCACAGGAAGTGATGTAAAGGAAACAGCTCAGAGGAAGTGCGGTAACAGCTTTTTTTTTCATTGGACAGTTGAACCACTCAAATGACCTGGTCCAGTCAGCTGACGGACCAATGTCAAAATTTGTGACGGGATTAAAAAAAGTTTGTGTCCGGTTCCGAAGTGAACCAGAGTTTTGAGTCTGATCAAATCGATAACCTCCGAAACCAGTCGTCTTTGTTATCAGTCAGAATGTGTTTATCGCTCTTTCTCTGGATCTGTTGTTCGGCCTCAATTCTAGAAAAGTTCTGGAATCTGTAATTTAAGCATTTTCACTGAAAAATTTATAAACCCTGAAATGAATACATCCCAAAAAAGCTGGGCCATTGATACAGACCAGAATTCAAAGGTCAAGTCAAAGGTCACTTGGTGAATTCTGTTCAGACATTTTTTTTTCTTCTTTTATTTCAGCTTTTCTAGAAATGAGGCTGTTGTTTAACTTCATGTGTGTTTTCAAAAGTTTGCTAAAATGCTAAACTGACCAGTTTATTAATTACTATTATTATTGTTAACAGGGTAAAAATATAGAAAGTGATTAAAAAAAAGTTCAGTAGAGGAAACTCTCAAGTCCAAAATGACCCTAAAGATTTTTTTTTTAACAATACAGAACTCACGGGGACTTAATGTTCAGCTTCTACTGAAACGCTGCTCATTCACCTGCTGCTGAATTGCATTCTGGGTCGTGCTTTGCTTTGACTGCATTGCGTGTGACATAAGCTCCCCAGTATTCCCGTACAGGTGCTAGCCAGTCAAAGTATGTTTACACTTCAGAGGTCGGACAAAAAGAGTCTAAAACACTTCTTCTTTTAGCGGCAACGTTAGCATTTGTTCTGCAGCGACGTTAGCCGCAGGCTCGGTTTTTAAATGCTAGTGTCATGATCTTCGACTCGAAGTAGTAGAGAAACACGACATGTAAAAATTTGAAATAAATGACAAAGTTGAAAAACAAAACAAAAAAAAAAAAATCTGATAAAAGTTTTTACATTTTGACGCCAGAATTTGTCTTTTTGTGCTTGGACCATTTTTACTGAATCGGTTTGTTTCTCCGATCAACTGGCAAACTGATCGGAGATCAGTTCACTCGAGTCAAAATATTATGTGGGAAAAATGTTTTTAAACAAAGGGATAATTCTCCTGATTGCAAAAAAAAAAAAAACTTTAGCGACTGGTGTCATCATTAACTAGATGCACTATTTCATGACAGGTGTCAGACTGAAGGTGTGTAAATATGAGCTGTAGCTGCACAGGTGGATTCTAACCCTGCCTCTGACAATGACCTAGCCTGTATTAGTGCCATCGCTGCTTCTCGCGCTATGATTATGTTGACTGATTGTGTGAAATGTGACACTTTCTTTTATTTTAGAGTTAGCCATTGTTTTTTTGTTTTTTTAATCGAGACGTGGAACAGTTTAACCTGCTCTTTTCAACTACCTGTATGTTCAACCTTCAGATTAAAGTTCTGGAACTGACGCCTGTGTCGGGTCTTCATTTCAGTGAATCTAGTCAGTATGTGTGTGTACTGTACTGTACTGTACTGTACTGTACTGTATTGTGGGGTTCATGTTGGCGCAGAGCGGTTGGAACAAATCCCAGAAGTCGTCGTCTCAGCAACGTAAAGAGACAACATTCACACTAACATTTATACTAACATTCACACCTATTCCTGGGAACATGCACGCTCAGCGCTCAATATGCTAACTGTACAAACACAGAAGCTTTTGTTTGTCCACGGCATTCATTATATATCTAATTCGATATGTTTTAGGAATGCATACGTAAAAGATGCAGTACCACTGGAAATAGCGGGGGCAGTGTTTTGATGTCTATGATCACCTAGCAACGTTGTTTTGACACAGCTTTTTAAAAAACATTTGGGATGATATGCAAGGCTAATTTCTTTGAAAATCGAAAAAATTTGAAATTTGAAAATACACTTCCACGCCAACGTGAAGCAAAGGTGTACCGAAGAAGCGGAGCATAAGAGGCTACTGCACAAGGATTGTCAGTTACCACAGGGGATCGTACTGATGATCTCCTTGCTGTAAGGCAGAAGCACATACCGCTCCTATACCATGCAGCCACCCACATGATTATTATCATTGTTTTCTTTTTTGTGTTTCAAATACTCTACAGTGACAGTAAAGCAGCGCAGGGTCCAAACCAAAGGCTGGGGATTTGATACCAGCATCTGCTGTCCTGCTGCCACGGTGCCCCTGGGCAACACATTCTCATCACACCCAGCCACAGGGGTACTTTCTGTAATCTGTGTCCTCCCACCGCTAGCTCCATCCATGCCTGGATAAATGTGGAGGGTTGCGTCAAGAACGGCATCTGTTGCAGAATCGCTGCCAAGTTCCAAACGCAGACGATCCTTGTCGAAGAAGGGAGCAAACACATGACATCAGTGCTGAGCTGTACATCCTGTTGAAGCCACAACAAGAATAATAGATTTTATATAGAATAGAAATTTTCAAAATTTGAACTGATGAATGTTCAGCGTGAACCTACACCGTAATGATTGGCTGGATCTTTGAACCAACTCACAAGAAGTGTTATTCTTTTCAGGGTCGTGATGGGAAAGTACTGTCAAAATCTTTGAGTCAATAATAAGTTAATAATAATAGGATAGTTACTATACTCATTTTCTAAAAAAAAAAGAAAATTATAAAAATGCACCAATTTGCCTAACAATAAATAGAAATGCCCATTTCATTCCTAAAGATTTAGAACAAAACTAATTATTTGATACCTCAACTTTTAATCATATGCAACGGTGTATACACAACGATGTATACTAAAAATTTCCTGAAAGTCTTTGAAAAAAATGTTTTGGATAAAAATGGATAAAAATGCACCAATTTGCCTATACACACGCAGCAATGCCCATTTCTATGCTTAAAATTCAGGAAAAAATACTTTTTGGGAATTTCAACTTTTAATCATAGGAAATACCATTTGCTAAAATTTCCCGAAAAAGTGTTCGAAAAATTTTTTTTTTCACAAAAATGCACCAATTTGGCTATAAACACATAGCAATGCCCATATGTTAAGATGTTGTAAATACATTTATTCAGTCTTTACAATATATTCATTATATTCAATTTCCATATCAATTTAATCAGTTTGTTTTTCAATGCTGTACTAAAAGGAGAAGTACTGAAGAAAGGTGTGCATGCTGATGGTTTACATAACAGGATGGTGTATGGTACTGATGGCACTGACTGTTACGCTTGGAGATAGAGACAGGTCACAGAACCGGCCTGAACCAGTTCCTCTGCCCAAATAATGAGGAAAACAGAACAATGAGGAAAACAGAACATCAAAAAGGAAAAGAATCCAAAGAGTATTTCTTTGATCTAACCTGAGTTACTGAGCAGAATAGCTCAGCACATGTACATGTTTTCTATTGGTGGAGAGTCTTTGTTTGGAGCAGCCTTTGCCAATCAGTGCTCAGAAGTTGCGCGAGAACACCACATGACTGTAAAGGGTTAAGGTACTGACCATTGATGTGTGTGTGTAAAAAAACTGTATTTAAGCTTTGAGCACTGAGGAGTTCCGCAGTGCAGGTCTGAATGTAATCATTGTTCTACACTCCTTGCTGCAAGTAAAACTTTTAAAACTTTGAGATCTCATATTTGATTCTTTATTTGATCAGATCTTTATTTGATTCTTTGTGTGTTAGGAAACTGGGGTATGAACTAACAGCATTTTCAACATTTAATCGTAGGCAACTGTAAATAGAATTTATAGTTAGTTACCAAAGTGTGTTAAACCAAAGTGTGTTAAACCATAAACTGTTATCTAAGTGTGTTAAATAATGGTCTGCATGACAGGAGTAGGTCCTCCTAAAAGTTTTATTGTAAAAAACACAATGTGGTCCATAAAGGATGAGGTCTGTTTCTCATCACGTATGGGAATCGGATGAACTTTGCCCAAAGAGTAAAACTTGACCTGAGAAAAAACAACTGCCCAGTGAAACTTTCTCAATAAAAGGAGCTGCAGTCCTCATACGCTTTGGGACTTAGGTGATCCAACTCTGTGAAGCTGTTGGTCTCTCTGCTCCCCCCTCGAACATCCAACATCGATTCACTGAATCCAACGGGATCCGAGGCAGCGCAGGAAAGAGGCAGGAAAGAATGAAGAAAGAAGGAAGGAATGAATGTGAGAGTGATTGGAGAGTAACTAAGTGGAAGTCTAAAATTCTTTGTGGTTCTGAGGTAGACTCCCAGACTGTGACCGCGTCCAGTTTTATACTGGTCGTAGAAGCTTGTCATGGTGGAACCCACTGAAGCCCAATAGAGGCATTCTTCCTATACTTGTTCTCTCACTAACTGTATAGTTCATATAGACAATGGGAAATTGTCATAGTTATTACTGTGGGGGGAAGAAAGATGAAGAATTCGAAGGAGATGGTAAATACATGGACAGACATCAACTGGCGGTCGGCAAAATATTTAACTAAATGGAAAAAAAAGTTTGAAGGAAAATTACAAGTAAAATCATGTGAAAATTTAGTCTTCAAATTAACTCTAAAGGTGAGAGTAAAAAAGCAAGGAAGGAGGCAAGTAATGGACAAATAATTGCAAAAAAGTGGTTGGAACAAGCAAAGAAAAGGCTAGAAGGTGCTTTCAAAAAGAAACCAGACATTGAGTAAGCACTGAATTGGCAAAATGATGATGATAATTATGTTCCTGTGCGACACACTCAGCCTGCAGCAGAGGTGCAGTTACAGATGGAGCAAAATCAAATACCACAGGCTGTAGGAGGGGTCATACAGTAATAAATTCACCTCCACATCTCACACATCACAGCCTCCACAAACTAGTCAGTTGTATCCTGATTTACCTAAAGAAAATACAAATCAGTTTGACAATCAGAAACTACTTTACCCTACTAAAAAGAAAGGAAACAAAAAGAAGGGGATCATAGTATGGTTTTGTGGAGCAATGTGGAAAACTGGGAAAAATGGAGAAATATTAATACAGAATCAGAAGATGAGGATAATGAGTCAAAAATAGACGCATTTCCAATGAGAGCTTTACCTGATGGAAATGGGGATTCTGTGTTGACACAGAATGGATATAAAGAAAGACCGGTGGCATTTTTCTCTGGCAAATTAGACTCTTGCTGCTAAACCACTACCAACTCCTGAGGACGGAGAACCTCACGACTGCTTAGCAGAATCAGAGAAAATGTACAAACCAAGAACGGATTTGACAGACGTGCCGTATTGTTCGTTGATGGATCAGCTCAGAAAAATAGCATGGGACAAAACTGTGCAGGTTATGCAGTAGTAACGCAGACTGAAACCCTGAAAACAGGCACATTACCATCAAATAATAGTGCTCAGGCGGCAGAAATAGTGGCGTTAACAGAAGCATTGAAATTATCAAAAGATCAAAAGGAAAAGACGTTACC